CGTCCATTACAGGAGAGTATGTCTCCTCATAATCAATTCCAGGTCTTTGAGAAAAACCTTGTGCAACGAGTCGAGCTTTGTATCTTGCGATCTCATTTTTATCATTTCGTTTCCTTTTGAATACCCATTTGTAACCCACGGGGTTTACATTAGGTGGGGTTTGGACTACTGGTCCAAAAACATTCCGCCTTTCCAAGGAATTTAATTCTACCTGGATTGCATCTTTCCACTTAGGCCAATCATGTCTCTGTTTGCATTCATCAACAGAGCGGGGCTCAATATCATCACTTAAGATGATTTCAGTGGCTACTGCGAATGCAAACATATCATCGATGATTATTTCATTCTGATCCCACAATTCATTTGTACATGCATAATTTATGGAGATTTCTTTGCTTTCATGTACTTCTGTCTCTTCAGGGACATATGTCTCATTAAGGACATTTTCTTTTTCTAGAAGTCCAGAATCATGAATTGTGGATGTATCATTCATTTTCTCTTCTTGAATGACTTCATTTGGATTCAGTTGTGCCTTTGACTTTCTCTTTCGAGAGGCTGAATCTTTTGAACCTGGGGGTCTACCACGCTTTAGGCATGCACCAGATGAATCATTCGCTGCCACTTTATTTTGTCCAACAGGGACATCAATTCTTGCACATGCATTTGCAGCTGGTATATGTGATTTTATCACTTTCATAGCATCATTAAATGCATCTGGCATTTGATTGGCAATGCTTTGAAGATGAACGATCCTTCTCACTTCATTTTCACATTGAATGCTGCGAGAATCAAAATGAGACAAGGTGAGAACAACCTATGTCAGCTCTTTCCGTTCTTCTGGAACGGTCTTTTCTCCCCCTAACGACTGGAAAATTGTCTCATCAAAGTGACAATCAGCAAAACGAGCTGTAAACATATCACCTGTCAAGGGTTTCAAATATCTAATGATAGATGGTGAATCAAAACCCAAGTAAATTCCCAGTCTACACTGAGGTCCTATTTTAGTGCGTTGCAGCGGTGCAATAGGCACATAAATAGCACAACCAAAAACTCGTAAATGGGAAATGTTTAGCTGATTTCCAAACACGAGTTGTACTGAAGAGTATTGATGGTTGGCTATAGGTCTCAATCGAACCAATGATGCAACATGTAAGATGGCATGTCCCCATGCAGAGACTGGTAATTGGGTTTTCATAAGCAAAGTGCAAGCTATTAACTGAAGCTGCTTGATCAATGTTTCTGCTAAACCATTTTGAGTATGGACATGAGGAACAGGGTGTTCAACATCAATGCCCAATATCATACAATAATCATCAAAAGTTTGAGACGTAAATTCACCAACATTATCAAGTCGGATTGACTTGATGGAATAATCTGGAAACTGTACTCGTAACTTAATTATCTGAGTAAGAAGTCTCACAATGGCTACATTCCGAGTAGACAAGAGACAAACATGTGACCATCGGGTAGATGCATCAACCAAAACCATAAAATATCGAAATGGTCCACATGATGGTTGAATAGGCCCACAAATATCCCCTTTGAATTCTTTGCAGAAATGATGGGGATTCAGCATCAACCTTTAGTTGAGATGGTCTAATTACCAACTTTCTTTGTGAACAAGCTTTGCAAAGGTTATCATTTAAGGCAGCAATGTGTCTGCTCACTAATGGATGTCCATTAGAGTTGGTAATGATCCGACGCATCATGGTAGATCCTGGATGACCCAGACGGTCATGCCAAAGCATGTAAACCTTTGAATCAATGAACTTCTGGTTCATGACAGTATGTGATTCAATTGTCCTTATGTATGTATAATACAATCCACTCGACATACCACGTAACTTCTCCAATATACGCTTCTGGGTATCATTGGAGGTAATGCATAAATACTCCACATTTTCTGCACTTTTTGTTTCAATGTGATATCCATTTAGACGTATGTCTTTGAAACTCAACAAATTTTGAGTAGATCGAGTAGCATACAATGCATTCTATATGGACAATATTGTTCCATTTGGTAACATAATCTGGACTTTCCCTGAACCTTGAATTACATCTGAACGTCCTGATATTGTTGTTACCCCTACTCTTGTAGGTATTAAGCTTAAGAAATACTTTCGATCACGAAGTATTGTATGTGTAGTTGCACTGTCTGCAAGACAAATATCTCCGCTATTTCTCATGTTCTGAGAATAACCACAATTTTTATCCATGCTCTCTAAGTAAGAGAATCAGAATAAAAAGCAAGTTATAACAAGAAAATTTACATGCCACTTTTATTGAATCTGAAAATACTACAAGTTCAGCATAATAAAAGTACATTAATGATTCAATCAGACCGGTATACTTCATTTCCCCTTTTCACAATAAAGTCTGAAACATCTAGATGAGTTGTGTTCAACTGCCCTGATAAGTCAAACACTGGATTAGGTATATCCATTGATCTAGCCTGGTCGAGAAAGTTGGTCTCGACACCCTTCTCCTTGAGGGAGGCTTGATACAGATCCATTAGATGTTTTGGGGTACGACAAGTACGCGCCCAATGCCCATTGCCACCACACTTATGGCAGGCTCCTTCAGAGTTTCTAGGAGCATTGTTCATATGAGCTTTGTCTTTGTGGCGATTCGCATTTTTGAAGCTCGAGCCTGAATTATTCCTGGGAACTTGGTTATGAAACTGAACTCCATGGTTATTGCCTTTCCTATTCCATCGAACTCGCTTGTGGCCACGTCCTCGTTTATGATTATCATCACCAGAGGATGTGGCGTTCACTTCGAGGGAAGCAGCATTCACTTCTAAGAATGGTGCAGATCCAGTAGGTCGGTAATGATGGTTTTTCATCAGGAGCTCATCATTCTGTTCGGCTACTAAGAGCACAGATATCAGCTGGTTGTACTCAGTGTAGCCTCGCGCTCTATACTGCTGTTGCAGGAGCACGTTGGAGGCATGAAATGTGCTGAGAGTCTTTTCCAGCATATGCTCCTCAGTAATAATATCCCCACAGAGCTTCATCTGAGAGGTAATTCTGAACAATGCAGAATTGTATTCTGCCACTGACTTGAAGTCTTGGATCCTCAGATGAGTCCACTCATAGCGGGCCCTTGGCAGAATCACCGTTGTCTGGTGATTGTATCTATTTCTCAAGGCATTCCAGCGAGCTAACGGATCTTCAACCGTTAAGTACTCGCTCTTTAGCGCCTCATCAAGATGGCGGCGAATGAAAATCATGGCCTTTGCCCGATCTTGAGAGGATGAGTTGCTCTCTTCCCTAATGGTATCTCCAAGATTTCCTGCTTCCAGATGGATCTTGGTATCCAGTACTCAGGTCAGTTAATTCTTCCCGGTAATATCCAGGGCAGCAAATTCAAGCTTCGTCAAGTTCGCCATTTTCTTTTCTGAAAGAAAATGAGATGTGTAAGAACTTGCAATAATATGTATTTCTGGAGGAATATGATGTTAGAACTTTTGGTTCTTACAAATTTTTCATTTTGATCTTCAAGCCAAAATGATAAGCACTCGAAACTTTTGGCTCGAGATTTTCAGGGTGAATGAGAAGGGCGATTGTACCGCACCATTCTTATTGAAATAATGTAATATAGAATGGGCGATTATTCCACACCACTCAAGTAACAGGAAAATTAAATATGCAGAGCAGTGTGAGCGATTATACCGCACCACCTAAAATTGCAATAAAATTAAACAGCAGGTAAATTTATAAGCAGGGTAGGGTGGGCGATTATACCGCTCCACCTAAAATTTGCAGTAAAATTAAATCTGCAGTCCAAGATAGGCGATGATACAGCACCGTCTTGGATCGCAGTAAGAATAAATTTGCAGTTCAAGATGGGCGATTGTACCGCACCATCTTGGATTGCAATAGAATTAACATAAATAAATACTGGGTTAATAATCAATCTCTACACCAAACAAGTAATCAAAGATGTATGTAACCGTTAGTTGGAGGACTAAAAGCAGGCATGGAGCAAACAATTCATCGCGATGGTATACGACGCAGTTGAGGCAGAGGAAGAAGATGAATAGTAAAAACCTTAAAGGAAACATTTTTTCTTTCTTTCGTTCGTTTGGCGAAGAGATATGAGAGAATAATTATATTTAGAGACTCGTGCTGATAACGTGTTATAAAAGGGTTAAAGTTTGAGAGATAACCTTTTTAGTGTTAGGTGCAAGGTAGATGTAAAATGCCACACAAAAACTATAACACAAGAGGATAACAAATAAAAGTAGAGAAAATAGATGATGTTACTGATATTTTTCTCTCGTTAACTTCTTCTTTCTTTTCCTTGTAACTTAAAAACATGCGGAGTGCTCTATTTATAGAGCAACTCCAAACTGATGCAGTTAATGCATCTTGAATTTTATGACACTTCGTCTGACTATACAATTTCACATTTAACTTTCACTTTGCATGGGCATTGAAAATTTCTGCCCATGCTGAAGACTTTTGCTAACATACTGTGTGGGCATTCATTGCCATCAGACATCAGACTTTTCAACAGAATGGGAATTTGTACCTATTTATAAATTTTGAGAATTCCTAATTTGCGAGTAGAATTTTTATAGTTATTTACTAAAATTATTTACTGTGTGATTAATTTTTTTGTATTTTATTCGTTATTTTATGTTAACCATACACTATGCTTAAAAGATGAATATAATATATCAGTACATAAAAAATAATAATTAGATTATACATAGGCCCATACGGAATATGAAGAGAAAGCAATAAATTGCATATATAAAAATGTTTAAGAATATTTAAAAACTTATAAAATATAAGAATTTTCGAACTTTCTTATGAAATTTCAAGTTTGATTCTAAAATTTTAGAAGGAAAATTGAAAGCCTTGTTTGCAATTCGATCCGTCAATAAATACCCTTAAAAGAAAGGATGCAGGATTCGGGTCAAATAAAACAAAAAGATGGAGGACCAAAGTGAAGAACCACAAAATTGAGCGGGTACATTTGTAATTGAAATATTCAATAGTCCCACTTTAAGACATCTCTCCTCCATCAGGATTAGGGTTTAGTGGTTCTTTGTTTTTTCAGCGATTCAGAGTGAGAAAGGTGTGCGAGAGAAAAATGTCGAAGAAGAACGATCTAGCTCGTAGAAAAAGGCAGCATGAATTCGAACTCAAAAGTAATCCCCCTCTCTCTCTCTCACTCTGTCTCTCTCTAATTCCTATATATAATTGTTGTGTATATATATTCAAATTTTCTCTGTAATTTAATTAGGGGAGAAAGAAGAAAGGGAAAAGAAGGCAAAGAAGCTTCAGGCAAAGAAGAGCAAGATGAAAGTGAGTTTTTCCCTCTCTGTATAATCTGTTGGGTTTTTTTTGTTGAACTATTAGCTACTTTTGGTTTATTGGGTTTATGAAAAATACTAACTTTGAAATCGGAAATTGTTCAAATTTACTCGGTTTTTCATTAATTTGTAGGTAGGAGACTAATTAGAGTTCCCCAGCAGAACAATATTAGAGTTGGGTTGTTTAAATTTTTAACGAATGTTTGTGAATTCAACTTTCCCTGTATTGTATTATAGACTTACAGTCATTTTTGGAACAAAGATTTATCGTTTCTTTTTTTTAAGTAAACCTTCGCGGAGAGTTTGTTTTTAACTAAATTATGTACAACAGGTTGATGGTAATGAGAAGAAAACGAAGGGTGGAGGTTTTAAAGTAGGCAAGAAAAAGTTCAAGACCAAAATGACGGCGCTGAATAAGGCTAAAGCCGCCCAAGCAATGGAGGTTGACAAATGAGGTTCAGTCGCAATGGTTATCTGTGTATGTTAAGAAGTATTGAAAGAAATGGTTATGAATTTGCCTTTTTGATATTTATTTTAGGTTTCTCTGATGTTGTTGGTCATTGTCACAATTTTGCTCCTTTGATTACGAGTACAATGTCGAATTTTAGTTGGAAAATTCGTATTGTTAGACAATGCCACAACATTGTTCTTACCCTGTTTCCAGTGTGTTTGTGGCTTAATTAATAGTTAGAATGCTGACGATGATAGAGCAAAGACATTAAATGTCTTATGACATATGGCTTGTATGTTGTAAAAGTGAAGATTGTGATTTAGTATCTTAATTCTTTTTGATCTTGCTAAGAACCCAGTTCAAAATCAATGTTTTAAATTAGAATACTTTTGCACAGGCTTCCCATGCATATCCCCAAGAAAGATAATTGGACTGGAATGTTTTATAGATAGTTACCAGACATACTGTATAAGGAATTGTTGTGAGACGAGCATGAAAAGAAGAAAGGGAGGTTATATCAGGACTTGTTGGGTAGAAGTGTGTGAAAGGAATAAAGGAGGTTCAGTGAGATGCATGGTGTAGGCTGATTAGGGTCGTGACACAGTTTAGCAAAAGCTTTGGATTGTGATGAAACTATATATTCAACAATGTTTTACTAGTCAAGAATCTTGTGTCCAATGTATATTTATGAACTAAAAAAGGTCAGATCAACTAGGAGTGGAAAATCGAGTGATCACAAGAACAATAAACCCAAGTTGGTTGTGATTTCGATTCTGCGATAGTGGAGAATATACAACAAACTGTTGTTTTATAATGTTGATCTCGTCTGAAGGGCATAGTGATGGACAATTCAATCAACTGTTATAGGCAATATGTGATGTTTGTTAGAAATAGTAGCAAACATTTGAGTCAGGTACTGATTCACATTAATTTGCTCATTGTAACTGTTGATTAACCTGTGGTTTACAGCCTGATTTTGAACAGCTTCTTTGAATGGTTCAGCCATCAACCAATTTACTCTTCTTGCAGAAGCTTCTGTGTAACTTCTTTGAAGGTATTTTTCTTAAAATTATCTTTGGGTGTCACTTTCAAATCCGACTCTTAGAATTTAAGTGCTCAAAAGTATGTAGTTCTTGGTAATTCTCTAATGATTTAGGTCGATTTATGATAAGGTGATTCCTTCTATCGAGTAGCAAAGAGGCAAAGTGTATTCTTTATGCTAATACTTTGACAATTGCCTCAACAAAGATCATATAGCAAGATACAGGTTCTGTGCCCTTAATGGAAGATTGGCACATCTTCCGTTTTGGGCGGTGGCTTTAAGTTTTCAATTATCAAGAGTAGTGGAGGGCATGGATTTGGGTAGGTCTGAGTATTGAGGAACCTGGAGGGTATGTGTTTAGGACACCAACAATTTTAGGGCACATTGGGAAACTGAGCAGCCTCATCTTGTAGAGTTCTGGGGTCTGACCTCTTCTACTTCTAAAAACATTTCTTATCGATATGAATAGTTGAAGAGAATTTCTAGTGTGCATTGGTGTATGATATTCATTGGAATCCTTGGCCGCGCATCCAATTCTTCATTCATCCAGTGCATGTCATACAAGATCAGTAGAATTTAGGATCAGAATATTTTATGCAAGATTTGCACTTGAGGTCTCTCGTTCATTTTCTCTTTTTCTCGGTGTCGCCAGTTTAAAAAAAAAAAAAAAAAAAAAAAATATATATATATATATATATATATATATATATATATATATATATTTGGGAAAGGAATCTCATACTTAATAACTTATATCCAAGTGTTTTAGCTCTATTTTGGTACTGTGGTGATTCTGAAAAAAAAGTGGCTATCAAAAAAAGTTTGGAGCTTTTTTATGTTTGGTAAACATTCAGCTTTAGTTTTTTTTCACAGTTTTGGGTGAAAAAAAAAAAGCCAAAAACACAAAGATGCAAAACCGAGTTTTGAAAAACTAGTTTTTTTTCACATCTGTTTTATATAAAAGTTTATCAAACATTATAATAGTGCTTTTTTTTTTGAAAAAAAAAAAAGCATTTTTACAAAAAAGTTTACCAAACACTTTCTTGTTTTATTTCACAGCTTTTTTATTTCACAGCATAGCAGAAGCGATTCTTTTTTAAAGCACAGCAATATCAAACCAGGCTTTATTCTCATGAAATAAAAACTACTAGTAAGGGCATTTTGGGAAACGTAAATTGTGCACCGACGGACTAGCTGCTCAGGTCACTTCATGATGGACATTTTCTCCATAACAATCATGACCTTTAGATGCTTTTTAAACTATTGATTGTGATCGACTCATACTCAATTTTTATCTCACTTGTAATATTTATATTTTAAAAAAAAATTTAAATTCGATACTGTTTTAAAATATATAAAAGATTTGTGTTATGGCTAACTCGAAATCTTTTGTTTTATTTTTATTTTTTTAAGATTAGGTAATTTTCCTCTTTCATTTGACCATTTGGGATAGTAATCTTCTTGTTGTTGTGTAAATATAGAAACTAGCTAAGAAATAAAAGGATATGGTCACCAATAATTAGCAAGTACAACTTCCTAGTCAAAGGCTCAAAACCAACATTTGTTTAATTCTTTTAAATACTTACACAAATAATTCCTTTTGTTGTATTTGTTTCTTTTAAATTCAGCAAATATGTACAAGTTATTGTTCAACAACTATAGGTTGAGGGTATCTCCACCAACCAACATAATCTTTGCTTTTTACCTCTTAAGATCATTGTCCTTCTCAAATATTCCTCATCTCTTTTCAATTGGAAGAAAGGATGATGTTCAAGGAAAGTGACTTATAATTTTTGAAATTGGACCATCCTATTAATAAAACTAATTCTATATCCCCTATGGTATGAAATGTGAGAGAAGATCGAGTGGTTGATATCTTCAGTCTTAAAAACTGGTATAGTTTGAAACGAATAACTATCGAGCATTCGAATCCCTAGCTTAGTAGAAGCTACAAGAATTGTAGCATGTCGGAAAACCAATCTACGTTGGAGAACGATCAATCTTGCTAATCCCTTTCAAAAGGGAATTTTTTTTTTTTTCCTCACAATTCGCAATCCAAATCTTTACTCTTGAACATTTCTTTGGTTGGATATTTAGATGCTACTTTCATGTTTGAGAGGGACATTTTTCTATCCATGTCCACCGCCAAGTTATTGGTGTTGTTCATCGTCTTGCCCGCTATTCTTTTCATGTTGTTAGTTTTTGCTCTTGGTTTGAGGAACTTCCTAACTGTATTTCCAATTTGTTATTTGAGGGTTGTGATAGCTAGTATTTTGATGTAATGTTCTTTCCTCTTCAATAAAATCTATCGTTTCTTACAGTACACTAAAAAATGCTATTTTCTTAATTTGCTAAACGATATTTTAAACTACTCCAATCTACCATAAGAAGAAGTAGATATAAGTGCCAAAGAGCAAGCATGCACATTAATCTAACTAATTGGTTTAACCCATGTTTGCAAATGGTACTAAGATAAATTAACATTATTAGATTTTAAGAGTGTTGTTTTGGTGATCAAAGGGGAAAGCTAGATTGTATCAAATGACCTAGCAAATTATAAATTTCGAAATTGATGATTATTATTGAAAACGACACCCACAACCTTTGGCCCTCCATGATCGGCCAAAATCTTAATTGGAGAGGCCCCAAAACAAATAAAAAATTGTGGTAAAATATTGGAATTTTCTAAAATTGGGATCAAGGTACTTCCACTTTTGGACATGATCCCATGCTGGACCAAAATAAAGAGACCTCCAAAATTCTATATGCAACTTTCCAAAATTTCTCACTCTATTTTATTGGATGCATGAAGCATAGCAAATCTCTCTTCCCACATTATTCTAATTTCCAGATGGAAAATCAAATTCTTGATTTGAACTTCATGTTTGGTAGACTTGATGAGATTGGACCTTGGAATATGATTGGATTGGCTGGGATGAGTTACATAACTTATGCATGTGGTTGGGATACATAACCCATAATATTTTTCCTTATTTTGGAGTTGTAGCCAATCTCATCCGTGTTACAATTTTTTTTTCTCACCAAACATTGGTTGGGCTACAAGTCCAATTTAATTGGAAATAACTCATCCCATCTTGCCCACCAAACGGGTCCTTCGAGTGCCTTTTTTTTTTTTTTTTTGAACAAAAGATATTATCTACAATAAAGGAAGGGGCCTCTCCCAAATTTAACTCAATTTGTCAATACTTTAATTGTTGGTCGATATTAGTTTATGTTTCTTATTGTTATTGATATCGTTTATTATATCGCACTGTCAACATAGAGAATTAAGTGTGGCCACGGAATTAGTGTGGTCGATATTAGTATTTTAATTCTTTAAAATACTTACACAAATAATTCCTTTTGTTCTATTTGTTTCTTTTAAATTCAGCAAATATGTACAAGTTATTGTTCAACAACTATAGGTTGAGGGTATCTCCACCAACCAACATAATCTTTGCTTTTTACCTCTTAAGGTCATTGTCCTTCTCAAATATTCCTCCTCTCTTTTCAATTGGAAGAATGGATGATGTTCAAGGAAAGTGGCTTATAATTTTTTGAAATTGGACCATCCTATTAATAAAACTAATTCTATATCCCCTATGGTATGAAATGTGAGAGATGACCGAGTGGTTGATATCTTCAGTCTTAAAAACCGGTATAATTTGAAATGAAGAACTATCGAGCATTCGAATCCCTAGCTTAATAGAAGCTACAAGAATTGTAGCATGTCGAAAAACCAATCTACTTTGGAAAATGATCAATCTTGCTAATCCCTTTCAAAAAGGATTTTTTTTATTTTTTTTTCTCACAATTCGCAATCCAAATCTTTACTCTTGAACATTTCTTTGGTTGGATATTTAAATGCTACTTTCATGTTTGAGAGGGACATTTTTCTATCCATGTCCACCGCCAAGTTATTGGGGTTGTTCATCACCTTGCTCGTTATTTTCTTTGTTGTTAGTTTTTACTCTTGGTTTGAGGAACTTCCTAACTGTATTTCTAATTTGTTATTTGAGGGTTTTGATAGCTAGTATTTTGATGTAATGTTCTTTCCTCTTCAATGAAATCTATTAGGGGTGGGTTCAAAAAACCGAAAACCGAAAAAAACCGACAACCGAACCGGACTGAGGCTGAAAAAAACCGAACCGCAAAAAAACCGAACCGAAATTGTCCAACCGAACCGAACCGAATCTGAACAGTTCGGTTTCGGTTTTTGAGGCTCGGAAACCGAACCGAACCGAACCGATATATATATATATATAATTTTTTTGAATATTTATAAATAG